CCGTGGTCATGTGGCCGGCATGACTAAACACCAAGGTGCACAGAACGCTGTTACCTTCACACTGAAGTGGTACCTATTTATCTACTTGCAATTTCTTGCTTTCGAACTGCTAGGTTGGCAGGAGCTGGGACCAGAGACGGGAGCTCACTCCGTCATGCGGCACACTCGGGTCTCGAACTGCCGAACTACCAACCTTCCGAAGCCTGCAGTTCAGCGTCTTAACCACTTGAGCCACCGCAGCTCCTCAGCACGGGTACCCTTTCCCAAACTCCCTCCCCAAGTAAGCTCTTGCACTGCCTTCTAGACATCAAGTAAACTGCTTTTATTCCAACAGGAATTGGAAGGGTGAGGCAGGTGGGTATTTTGAGAATGATGGGATCTATCTACTATGGTTTTGTTGATTTTTTTGTTGTTGTTGGTGGTAGTATAGCTTTGGTTTTTAAACTGGAGGGTTTAATGGGGTGTTATGGTCATTTCTGTGTGGTTTTTGTTAGCCTCCCTGGCACTCTGTTAGGCTATGCCAGTGGGATATAAAAATAAGGCAAAACTCCATTCAGATAATCTATCCTTCCCAGATAACTCCACCCTAGACCATATCAGCCAGATCTTTATTTGCATAATGTACAACATTGAATCTGTGCTTAAAGATTATGTGTGAGAGCACTATTCCCTAGTCAGATTTGAGCCAAGACTTATGTTAATTGATTCCAGACCTGAAGTGATCTCACAACATTACCTGGTAGTGCCTGTATGAAGAAGGATGGAATCCTGGAAAGAATGAGCAGCAGCACATTGGTGGACATAGAAAGAAGCAAGAAGACCAAAGATGAAGCCACGTATGACAAAATCAGTGCAGCCCTGGCTCCATACTGGTCGGAGAACCTGGTAAAAATGACACAGGATGTTCAATAAATGGAACTGGTTATAAAGTAATAACAGAACTGCCAAACAAGTCTCAACTAGGAGAAGGACAAGTATCAACTAGGGGGAGAATATGAAAATTATTACAAACTAGGAATAAGGCCCATTGTGGAAATAAATACAATGAGCTCTAGAAAGAGGCTCTGAGTGGGTGCCCTGGCCTTGGGCACTCAGCGTCAATTTGCTGTGGCAACCTCAACAGGGTATGATGACACAGACTCCACTGTTTTCTACATGGAAACTGATCTCTGCCACCTGAAAAGCAGTTGTAATTCTGAGTGATCTCCTGCCCTCACCTGGAGATTGGCAACAATGATTCTCCCGGAGAAAATAGCTGGTTTGGAGGGTGGAACCTATGCCATTGTACCTGTCTGAGGTCCCACCCCTCCTCAAACCCCACCCTCTCCAAACTCCACCCCTCAAACCTCCAAGAATTTCTCAACCTGGAGCTGGCAACCCTATCTCCTTCCCAGTCAACCATCAATTTACCTTTATCTGCCCCTCTGACTTCAGTTTTCAATCTCCTCCCCCCTTCCTGCAGCCTCCACCTAGTACGTTTTTCTCCTCAGTGGGGACCAAAGCAGCTCACATCATTCTCCTCTCCCCCTTTTGATCTGCACAACGAGCCTGTGAGGTAGGTTAGGCTGAAAGTCTGTGCTAACTGCTACATCACACTGGCTTTCATGGGGGGGCACCTCAGCAGGGTACAATGACACAAACTCCACTATTTTCTCCAGGGGAATTGATCTCTGCCATCTGGAGAGCAGTTGTATTTCTGAGTGATCTCCAGCCCTCACCTGGAGATTGGCAAAAATAGTTCCCTGGGAGGAAAAGTACAGTCTTTTTCTGCAGTGGGGACCAAAGCAGCTCACATAATTCTCCTCTACTCCTTTTGATCTGCACAACAACCCTGTGAGACAGGTCAGGCTGAAAGTGACTGGTCCGAAATAATCCACTCAGCTTCGACAACAAGAACCTGGCTCTGGCAGACCCTGCTCTGAAATGCAAACTGCTACACCACACTGGCTGTGGTATCGCCTGGTATCACAACAGAACACCAGACAACAGATCTCTCTCTCCCGCTGGAGAAAATAACTGTTTTGGAGGGTGGACTCTATGGCATTCTATTCAGCTGAGGACTCTCCCTTCCCTAAACTCTGGCTGTCGTAGACTCCACCACAAAATCTCCAGGAATTTCCCAACTTGTAGCTGGCAACCCTAGTCAGGAATGGCCCCAATGAGTTCCCCACAAAGGCCAAAGTAGGCCTGGAAAGGGCCTCCTCCCCCGCCTTTTTACTGACAGAACCAAGCTTGATTGCCTAGTAACTGAGAGGAAAGTGAACTGCACAGCAGGAGGAGAAGAGAATGGTTTGATGGCCGCTGGCCCATCTCAGTAGCCAGCCAGCCAGCCATGGAGGAGCCAAGCAAGAGAAGAGTCTTCGTCAGGAAAGACAGCTGTTTTGGTAGTTTATTCTCACAGGGAACAGTGGCCAGGCTGGCAGTGGGTGGGAATGAGGAACAGACCCAGCACACAGCCAATGGCACGCGAGTACTCTTGAGTGGCAGTTGATGGGCCAATGGCTGATGAAGCACACAGCCAGTGGGAGAGCTGGAAAGTGCCAATACGTTAAGGCTTTTATATATATCAGATAACTCTTTTAGGAGACGTGGAGTACAATACTGTCTCACTTGCAGAAGAAGAGGCCAAGACAAAACTGTCAAGTGTTAAGTGTAAGCAAATTACTACCAGCTAGGCTCTCTTAAAAGGTTCCCCTGATGATCTAACTATATCATACAGCCCCCTCTTGTCTATTTCCAGAAGGTGATGTGTCACAGCTAGCAATCAGCTATTCCCTTGGCATCAAAGTCATAAGCATTGCTTTGGCATTAAAATTGGTTCTGTTTAAACCAAGGAAGGAGATGCAGTGGCTCAAGTGGTTAAGACGCTGAACTGCAGGCTGTGGAAGGTCGGTAGTTCAGCAGTTCGAGACCCAAGTGCCGCATGACGGAGTGAGCTCCCATCTCTAGTTCCAGCTCCTGCCAACCTAGCAGTTCGAAAGCAAGAAATTGCAAGTAGATAAATAGGTACTACTTCAGTGGGAAGGTAACAGCGTTTCGTGCGCCTTGGTGTTTAGTCATGCCAGCCACATGACCACGGAAATGTCTTCGGACAGCGCTGGCTCTTCGGCTTGGAAACAGAGACGAGCACTGCACCCCTAGAGTCGGATTCGACTGGCTTTCGAGCAAGGGAACCTTTACCTTTACTTTTTAAACCAAGGAAATAGGAGAAATCCATAGGTTTGTCATTCTTATTAGTTGCCTGTAAGTTGTTAAATATCAAGCATTAATAGAGTTAGACAATGGTTTTTGCCAAAGCAGCACCTCAGTGGAACAGCTCAGCGTATTCTTAGATCACTAGCACTAAAATCAATAGGGATTATTGCTGGCTAGATCATGCCTTAAGTGATTATGAATGAAGTTTGCACAAGGACTTCATTCAGCAATGAAAAGGCAGCAGCTGTACAAATACTAATTTATAAGGCCAGAGGTTACATGGTTATGTAGAAAAGCTACTTTAAACGAAGATTAAAGGATTTCTGAGCAGCTATATACACCTACCATTTTCACTCCCCCCAATAGCTACTGTGCAGAAACAACTTCCCCCCCAAAAGAGCATTTATATGAGAGCACCACGCTCAGCTTTCGTCCTTGTTTACTAAGCCAGTGGCTGAACATCCAGCAAGTGACTTGCATGCATCAGATAAGCTCAGACAGCTCATCTGATGCCATCACTATCCAAAGGAAGCCCCACCACGCATCAACAGACAGCAACAACTCTTGGACAAGAGTTTTACTGCCCATTAGCTCCAACATAAATCTGATCTGCCATATTCGTACTCCGCTCCGCCCTTGCCTGCTAACATTTTGCCTACTCCTTTCTCTGCCACAGTAGAAAGGTGCCTGAATGAAAATCCTTTTAATCTGGTATCACAATTACCATTTTCATCCACTGTTTAGAAGAGGCTTAGAGGGCTGTCTAATTAAAAACACAAAAGAAGTTGGAAAGGTCATTAGTCTTGCTATGATCTTTTATTGTACTCTCTTTTCTGTCTTATAGAAGTTATTGGTCTGCGCTGCCCAACCGTATTGCTGTTTCCTGCATTGGCCCAGGCTCAGTAGCAATCAAAACGTGACAAAATAGAGACTATATGGTTGTTAGCACATTACATTGGAATAATGAGTCTGTTGTCAGTTCAGGAAATCCAGATGGCTATTTAAATTAGTTTTCTGACCTAGGAATAACATAGTACTGGTAATTCCAAATAATTCTGACATTCCATGGGGCTCACAACAATGGCTGTTATGTTTACCTCCCAAAAATGGGACCTCCCAGAAGCTGAAGAACACCATAGAGTGTTTGCAAGTAGCCAAATTCAACTGCATCTAAACCGAGGCTTGTTGCCAAATACTGAAACAGAAAAAAAGAGGGGATGTATGTCACATTTTAAATAACAAAGATGTTAATAGTATATTCTAAGTAAGTCTGTAGTAAGGTCAAGGCTCAGACTTTAAGTTCGTATGTCCACGTCTAGTAATGCCAAGTGATCAGTCACCTTTCCAACCAAAACAAAGCAGGCCTGGAACTAATACCATTGAGTTGCTCCATCACCGGCTTAAGTATATCCACTAGCATTTTAATGACGTCTGCTCCCTCTTCCAGTTTAGGGCTCTGACTGCCCAGCGGTTTCGTTTTCAACTTTCTCTGCTGGGCCGCCATTTTCTCCAATTTGTTTACAGTTTCTAACGCTTCTTCCCAGCTCGAAAAATTCGCCCCACGATGACAATAATCAAGTCTCTCAAAACACACTCATTGTGTTACCTCCCCTCTCCCCCTTCGTATTGCGTATCAGTTCATTCACATAAGAGGCATCCCTCTTTGCGTCCATTTTTATCAGCGGGTGGGGGAATCCGCTTTTTCAATAATCTGGTTTATTCTGAACTCATGTTCATTGTTTCTCTGACCTCTCTCACTTCAATTCCATTCCGCTCGATCTCCGGCGCTTGTCCCGGTCAAACCAGCTAGTGCCCAAAGGCCACACAGCGACTGGCCCGTCAGGGCAGAGGGGAGCCTCAATTCTCCGGCATTACGCCATTGAAGAGACTACCCCTCAAAAGCCCTCTGGCCTGGAGCCTATCACAAAGGCTCCGTGGAGGTGTCACTTGAGGTGGCACCCCTCCAAGCTGCTGGTGTGCTGATCGCTCTCCCGCGGTTCGAGGAGAGCGTCCGCCATCGCCACTCCATATACCGGAAGTCCCGCCTGGAATTAATTTTAATGACAACCTATAACATAGGACACATGGTTTACCATAAATGTCTCCGGTGTGGGGTCCACACGACAACCCTTTTTTGTAGCTCAGTCATTCCATTTCTACATTCAGCAGAACTACAGTAAAAGATCCATATATTAATGGAAACTGGACTACTGAAAAGAACCTGCCCTTTTCTTAATCCACACAGAGGGTGGTTGTTTTCTGCGCATGACTTTGCCTCCTCCAATTATTTCCTGACTGCAGCAGAGTTATCCCTCCATATCACTCAGCTCAATGAAAGAATACATGCAGAAGATACTTCGTTCAATTCCTGGCGTCTCCAGTTAAAAGGACCAGTAGATGATGTGAAAGATCTCTGTCTGAGATCCTGGAGAGCCACTGCCAGTCTGAGTAGACAATACTGACCCTGATGAACCAATGATCTAACTCAGTACAAGGACTTTATATGTGCTTACTAGCCTGATACCCGTACTCCGCTATGGTATTTAAGTTCCGTAAATCCAGTTATGATACTGATGATGTGAAATCTGAAATGTGACATTTGTTTTAGGGATTCTAATGGAGAAGACTGTAGTGTAAAAAATGAAGTGAGACATACGTACTTTCCCCCCTCTCTACTGAAGGACCTCTCTGTAGACCACATTGGTGGTTCTACCCTCAGGTGCTAGGATCACCAGGCTGCTTGGTGAGCTCACTCCGGAGCAGGCCACATAGAACTGCCCATTTAAGAAGCAGTTGTCTGTTAAGTCAACTCCTGCCACCTTCCACGAAAGTGATGGCCTCTCTACTTGTGTTCCTGGATTGTTTTGCTCATACGGAGACTGTGTTCTGAGCACCTCAGGGTGATGTCGCTGGTACTTGGCCTGTGCAGCTCAGTGCACTGCAGGAGTACTATGTGCAAATGTCTTTGCCGCATTCCTAAGTTGCCTCCTCCTTGTAGCGTTGGTGTATCCGGCTTGATGTTTGCCAGGAGCTTTCTTGGAGGCAGTAAGAGGTGAGAGTTGTGAAGGGGAGTTGGTGTGAGGGAGTGGTGATGTGGTGGACATTTCTTCAGGTTCATGAGGGAGGCACGCATCGAAATGGCTCCTAGAAATGTCCTTTACTATCTCCCCATAAACATTCATACCCTGGCCCTGCTCCTACA